AGCCAGCTTTCCTCAGCCAGTGAAAACCATATAGAAGTAAAGCTAATCGGTATATGTATAGACAGTGTGGCCAATAAACTCAGCTAATGATATTTACTGTGTGCTTAGCCAGCTTTCCTCAGCCAGTGAAACCATATAGAAGTAAAGCTAATCGGTATATGTATAGACAGTGTGGCCAATAACCCAGCTAATGATATTTGCGTAAATAATGATGACTTGTAATGAAACTTGCCGAGTGGACGGTAGAATTATTCTTTTCATTGAATTGAACATTGTCAATTTAAGCATATAAAGAAAGCAGTATGCACAAATAACCAAACACCTCTAATTCACAAAATGATAAACCATTGGAACGGGATCACCTACCTATTCAAACTTTTGGAGGTGGCCGAAATTATTACTTACCCGTATTTGGCTTCTAACTTAGACAAAGTAGTCTTAATGAAATAGGCCTGAAATTGTTAATAAAAATCACATTACCTGCAGATGTTTTTTTTCTCACTTCCCTTTTAATTTGTTCATTGTGAATTCAAATGCAAAAGCACGTAAACATAGCATTTCCAATATCTTTTTTCGTCTCCTACAAGTCACTGCCATACAGGCCTTTCGTGTAATACCAGAGATCTTCAGTTAAACTATCGTTTAAACCATGAAATAATTTTAATGTTCGTCTGTTGTCGAAAAATTGTGCTAAAGCTCTCAAGGGCTATCTGTGCTAGCCGTCCCTAATTTTAAACTTATAGACTTGAATGAAGGCAGCTAGTCAACAGCTCCCTCTGCCAATTCTTGGCTGATAAAATGACCTCTTACCTGGCATAATTTTAATGTTGGACTGACCACCACAGGAATTAGGGCTGGCATGACTTTTGTGGCCAGTAAGTTTACAGTCAGTCCGTACCTCTTGCCTCCTAACATGTGCTTATAGATTCCTAAATAAAGTAAAAAAAAAAGCGTTACCATGTTTTTTTTAAACCATGAATACACATATTTAGTTACATAATTTTATCAGTTTGCATGTTGGTATATTTTAATGGTTTTAAATATCAACATTCTGTTTTAGGTCTTAAACTAACTGGATTACACCATAATGTACTATATTCTTGTTTACTAAATAATAGCCCACATAAAATCGCTAGAGATTTTTAGCGTACAATTGAGCGCAATGTATATTTTATCTACAGATGACTCTTTACGTAACGGATGGAATAATTTAAGCTAATTGCGTGTGTTAGAGCAAGGTCACACTGGGCTATCTGCTGTGTCCACCGCGGAAAATCTAACCACGGATTTAGTGTTGACATAGACTTAATTGCAGAAACTTAAATCAATTAATGGAAATGTCTCTGTTTTAATCATTAGTGTGTAATCCGATAACTTATCTAAAGTAAAAACCAGTCAAATACAGCATTTTTTCAATATCAAGATAACAAGATAAGTATTAATGAACAATCTATATCTCGCCTGATACTAAAATGTATTTAATGCGCATATGAAACGAAATCACGTAAATGCAACATAGTTTTGTGATATCTTATAAAATAGTATAAACAAATTTTGAAGAGAGCATTTCAGATTTCAGTTCCTAGTGCCGGTTTGAAGGTCTTTTTATGTGGTGACAGGAATCTTACTATACCCTCTCCGGTTTGAAGGTCTTATTTTATGTGGTGAGAAGAATCTTACTATACCCTCTCCGGTTTGAAGGTCTTTTTTTATGTGGTGAGAATAACTTTACTATATCCTCTCCGGTTTGAAGGTCTTTTTTTATGTGGGGACAAGAATCTTACTATATCCTCTCAGGTTTGAAGGTCTTCTTTATGTGGTGACAGGAATCTTATTATACCCTCTCCGGTTTGAAGGTCTTATTTTATGTGGTGAGAAGAATCTTATTATACCCTCTCTGGTTTGAAGGTCTTATTTTATGTGGTGAGAAGAATCTTATTATACCCTCTCCGGTTTGAAGGTCTTTTTTTATGTGGTGAGAAGAATCTTACTATACCCTCTCCGGTTTGAAATTGTCACCACATAAAGAAGACCTTCAAACCGAAGAGGGTAGAGTAAGATTCTTGTCACCACATAAAATAAGACCTTCAAACCGGAGAGGGTATAGTAAAATTCTTCTCACCACATAAAAAAAAGACCTTCAAACCGGAGAGGGTATAGTAAGATTCTTGTCACCACATAAAGAAGACCAATGATTATATTTAAAAATATATTTTACATTCTTACAAAGACTAATTAGTACAATCACTATGTCCCCACACAGACTAACTAGTACCATCACTATGTCCCCACACAGACTAGTTAGTATCACCACATGTCCCCACACAGACTAGTTAGTATCACCACATGTCCCCACAAAAACTAACTTGTAACATCACGTGCTTCTGCTCAAACTGTCTTGTACCAAAACTATCTTTCTACACAGACTTTATAGTTGTACATTATGGTTCCACACAGACTAATTAGTACCACTATTCCATACTTACATAGTACCTTAGTGTAAACTGACAGTGATAAACTAACGTGTGAAGAATGTTTGTTGATCTGGCTAACAGTTTCCTTGGACGTTGCTTTATATATGTTTCCCCCTTTGTATCATATTTGTTGGAGGTGGAGTTTTTGCCTCTCCCACAAATAGAAGTCTTTACTCTGTGTTTTAATATTTGTATTTGATTTGTATATTTCTGCCTATGAGGGTGATAAACTGTACTGAATTACCTTCGATTCGATAGCTTAATATATAGTCCTCGTTTGCGAATTTTTACGTGACGGGTTTAATACACACGTATACTTAACGTGACGGGTTTAATACACACGTATACTTAGTTAAAAAAAAGGTTTTCTAATTACGCGCATAATTTGAAAAGAGAAACAAACAATGTCGGCCATTATTTTTATTACTAAGCGCATAATTCCATATGTTCCCTAATTTTTTATCTAAGGCCGATGCGTTCAGTTTACATGTGCAAGTGAAAATGTTTTTCTCAAAAGTTCTTAAAACATTTGGAAGACAATTGGTGAAAACTGGGTGTAACGAAAGAAAGGTTGTACTTTATTGTGCTGAAAATATAGCTGCTATGTGAAGTTAACAAAAACGACAACTAAGGGAGAGGGTATAGTAAGATTCATAAGGTTTTAAGGGCTTTACTATTTAGTCTGTGTAGGAACATAGTGTGGTACTTATTAGTCTGTGTATGAAGGGACATAGTCATGGCACAAATCATTCTGTGTAGGGACATTGTGATATAAAGAAAAATGATATATTACACATACTATGAGGTGTGAGTGTCTAGTACAGTTATTCCGACTTTAATTAATCTCAGGCGCTTAACAAAACATGGATCGGGTTCAACAAGAAATAATAAACACAACTAAATATTCTGTAACAATCGATAAATAAATGCAAAATAATTCTAAACAAGTTCAATAATACTAATAACACTTAGAAAATAAGTTATAACAATGGGAAATGCAACAATTAAAGTATATAGAAAACACCAATGTAACTTAACTCATGACGTAATGTTATACATATATGGAACTTTTATGTAATCACTATTAACTACGTATAGTAAAAACTTAAACTATCGGGAAGTGAAACTAATTTAGTGATTATTCAGTCGTGCATTTATTCTAAACATTTTAGAAATATCTCCAGTTCTCATCTGGTGATTTTTGTAACGACAGAGTCACAAGTTACGAAGAAGTATATATGAGCTTACACATAAACGAAATGACACAAAACTTAATGAATGTCTGGACCATGCTCTTCTGCCTTCATACATAAATATATTTAAGGATCATCTGGTAATTTAAGTCAAAATAAGTTTCTTAGAAATTTGAAGTGGATTGCCAAACTTTTATCCGTGAGCGTAGCTTAAATTCTTCAAGCTACAAGATAGAACTTGACTGTCAGCGTTTTAGTTAGAAACTTCTGGTCTGACGTTACCTGTATTGAAATTAGTGAATATCGAACACTTCAAGCAGAATTTTGTGTTCAGTGTGGTCCAGATGTCTGGACCCATAGGGAAAATTGACATTGTATTCTTAAAGTTAAACAAACACATTTCTAATATCAGTTGTACATATTTCAGGAAAGTAAATACCCTGATGGCACATTATACCAAGAACTGTTATGTGTAAGGCTGTTAATGGCATGCGATTTGAATACTATATAAATTAAGAATAAATTGTGTATATTTCCCTATGGGTCCAGACTTCTGGTGCGCCCTGTATAATTAATTCTATGAATTTATTCATCTTATAAAGTAGATAACAGTATAACAGAAAGTAGATGATAACAGAAAAAGCATGAATCTGAAAAACCTTTCTCGAAGGATTGTTTAGAGAGTAATAACATAGTATAGTTAATAATCACAGCTCAACTGGTTGTTGAATCATTCTTAAAGAAACCATGTTCCGCCATTTTAAACTTTCACCTGTAAAGCTTAACAGTGTTATTTACTATATAATTAAAAAGAGTGGCCGTAGAAATCGTTGAAGAGATGTACTTTATCGATGTAACTTACGTATTAGTAAGTGTTAAAGTAAATAATCCGCAGATGTGTTTTTCAATATCTGTAAGAAGAATATTTAGCCATTGGCTACATTGATGGAGAGGTCGCAGAAGTCATCTGGCCTACATAATCAAGGCTGTGACCATTGCTGAAGACACCGCAGATGAGATAAGCTGAACTATAAGCAATGCTGTGAACAGGAGAAGAAAAATAATAATAATAACAACACTTGTTACGCTAAACGTGGGCGACTTACGAAGAACGTCAATTGATGTACATATTTGAAACAGTTGCACTGTCATCCTACAAAACAAAATGATTCAGCAGACCATTTCAAGCTCGACTCCACTAAACCTACAGTATAAGAGGTCCTGGTTCTTTTCTTTTTTTTTACACTAGCTAGAAGGTAATCTAATTCAAGTTATTTTGAATATATTTTACAATTGAAACAATATTCCATATCGCTAAGCCTATTCACCGTTAATCTTAGAATGAAGTAATATAATTTAAATTGCCATGTATAAAGAATTTAAACAATTTCCGATATAATAAAATTAAAGAAACTCCAACCGATGTGTAGAGAAAAAGACAAAAATATGCACATTATTACACTGACCAAATATTCCTGTTTTTCTACGTGTATCACACATTAATTGGATTATTTTTTGCTCTTTAAAACAGTATTCAGTTATTTTGAACATAAATGTTTTAAAGGTCGTTTTGACGGTTGAGAAACACAACATGTAGCTGAAATACTAGACTGTATAAATTTATTTAAATATATTTGAACGAAAGTTGTTTATTTAATTTGAGCAGTTGTTAAGAAGGAGGAATATTAATTCCAGGTTGTGGAAATATTAAAGCTAAAAATAAACAGGAAAGGAAAGAGCGTTCAGGACAGTAAATATAATAGTGGTAGTTTAAGCGGAGTTTGTCAAACAAAATAGCGTTTCGGTTATACTGAATACATTTGAAAAACAACTGTGTTTATCGAGAGGACAAGATCATCAACAATAATTTTGACTCATCTCTAAAAAAACTTTAAATTGCGTCATAAGTTTCGAAGGATTTATGCTAATGTGATGTAAAACATTTTTCCAAGGAAATTGAACCTTGGTCCTACAGTTATTTACTAAACAAGTAGCTCCACGAGGGTGTATTTAATCAGGTTTATTTCATGTATAAGGCTTAAAATGATATTTAACAGCTTAAACAATGTAGAAGACGTTAAGAAGTTGGTAAAAAAATGAACACTGAACATACCAAAGCTTTACGTGCCTATTTGCC